GGATGTTCTTTTCAACATTACATGTATTTCTATAAAGCTTGTTGGAGAGTGGTAAAACATTTACCTTACCTAGCTATAGTTTTTAATGTACATGCGTAGTAAAAGAAATAAGTAAAAGAATGAAAAATATGATCATGTATTTTAATTAGGTACGATGAAACTATAATAGTGAAGCAAAGTTAATTCTCAAGGGCCTATTTCAAATGAAGACTAGTTTATGAAAGATTGGCTTCAAAAAGCTAAATGACTTGTCATTACTTACAGCTTCATATCAATTAATCCCTCAGTTGGGGGTTGGGGGGAAGTGGCTGGGAAGGTTCATTCTATTTTAAATCTGATTGTTTTTCCTCAGAGGGACTCTTGTGTGTAGCCTATGTCATCCAAACAAGTGCCAGAATATCATTTTTTGAAAATTAGGAGATGTGATTTTTTTAAAGTGGTGGTAACCGGGAATTGCCATAATGGAAAAGTGACTTGTGAACACATCTGTACAAATGGAACCATTCCATTATTAATGGGAGATTTATTACTGAAGAAATCACTACAGAACAGTATGATAGAGATTGTGTTTTTATTTTAATGTGAGAGCCAAGTCTTGCATTAGGACACTGTTGAAGCTTATGCAGAAATTAAATGGCACCCATGGGACTGTAGCATTCTGCTAGATTGAAGGGCCCTTAATAATCCAGTACCCTAATAGCAGTTAAGATAGAGTATGTGTAAGAGCTAATCTTGTCTTCTGCGTTTATAATAACTTGCATATGGTAACCAAAAGTAGTTATGATGTGCTACAGCATTGTTCCTGGTAGATGACTTTTTAAATTCAAAGCTAAGTTCACTGAATAACTTTTCAGAGCTTGTTTAATGAACAGTAGTAAAAAAGGATACCTGTTAACAGCAGGTTTAACAACCAAGTATTGCTTTAGGAGATTATATATCTTTATAACAATGAACATTCAATTAATGATAAACATATAAATACAGGCTTATTGTTTCATAACAGTTTGAAATGGTTATAAAAATGGGTTTGCTTTATAAGTATGAGCTAATGTTTTAATCATTATTTCAATGGTGTGTTAATATCAGTTATATTTGATGTTTCTTAGCTTCTATCTTTTGATATAAGGCACCTTAAATATATATAAATTTATAATGAAATTAGTCTACAGCATTTAATAGTTTGATATAAATTATATTTAGAGAAAGTATTTTCTAATATATTTTATGAAAAGCTACTTCACATCAAATTTGAAAGCTCCTATTTAGCTTCATATTCTACTCCTAACAACTTTCTCCTGCCCTCTCATACCACTGCCTCACCTCGTTTTTTTCTCTTTAGGATAGGAAACCAGAATTATAGGTTGTTGCTGCTTATATCTAAAAATAATATTTGTAAAATTTTAGAACTGTATACAAAGTAGTAGACATATTTTATTGTGCTTTTGTGTAGTTGAATAATCTTGACAGACCTGTTTTTGAATACTGCACACTAGATGGCAGTTTTGTCATATTCTTCCAACCTTAAATACTCCTCACTAGACAAGTAGAACAGGAAAGGCCATCAGTGTTTAGTCTGCACTCCAAGGGTCTCGGCATGACCAATGCAGACCCCGTGGACTTCCGGGAACATATGTTAGCAATTTAGCTGCAGACATTTATTTCTTTGTTTTACTGCTTGGATCTTTGAGAAAGTGTTGGTGCCGGGTTATGGGTTGTCTGGATCATGTCAGAGGCCATGGGGATCAAGTTCATGTGACAGGCCAGACTAAGGAAAGATGGAGTTGAAGGAGGTGAGGAAACTGACCCTTACTTTCAACAGCAACAAGTCACTGCCTGTCTGTGGACTGGGGCCAAATGCCTGGGCGTTTAAGTTTTACTCCAGCTGAACAAACAAAACACTTTGCCCATTTGGCGTTTTCATATTTCATCAAGAGTAGCTCACTCAAAGATTTCTCCATTTCTCAAGAATTTGCTTATCCCTCATCTTTCTCTCTCAATGCTTTCTCCTGTAGGCCTGTCCAGACGAAGTGACGTTGAAATCCTTGGCTACTGCATGCTGCGTTGGTTATGTGGGAAACTTCCCTGGGAACAGAACCTGAAGGACCCTGTAGCTGTCCAAACTGCTAAAACAAAGTACGCATTTTCAACTGTTCCATCATTTACTACACAAAGTCTGAGGGGATACATTAAAGAGGGCTAATATCCTCGAGAAGATTGCCATTTACTCAACATGACACCCAAAGCAAATTTCTTTTCATTTGAAAAATATTTTTTAAAAAACCACATAGCTAACAGACATAAAGTCCATTAAGATAACACCTATAAAAATCGCATGTATTTGAGTTACAATGCAAAATATAAAGTGAAATATCTGTTCTTTTATATGGTGTTTCCCAAAGCATAGGTTCTATTACAGTTGGTGATGTTTTTCAAAGAAGAGTATTTTCACATTAGCGTTGTACAGGTACAGAAGCAGCCTGAGTTTGGTATGCTTGATATTAACTGCACAAAGCAACAATGTGAAATGGGACAAATAGGGCTTATATTTATCAAGTGAAAACAACATGCTTCTTATTCCAAGGGAATATGTTTTGTTTCTTAAGGAAGAAAGAGACAAAAATTTTATATAGGCTATTTATATGAGATAATCTTCAGCCACATAAACATTTTTAATATACTGCATTCAATTTTTATCACCTAGATTCTGTTAGCATTAGAATTAGGTCAGACTAAAAACAGAGTTTTTCCCTGTTTTATTATTCTCTCACTAATAGGCCTAAGAAAAAGTCATTTGCATGTAGCACAAAATAGCCAGTTTTTTGTCATTTACCAAGATGTGGTCAAGCAGCAGTTATTCACAAATAAAATACCATGGTTGGGAAAATCAGCTGGGTTTTAAGTAAGACAGGTTGCAACAGAACTGTGTAATGGGAGGGAAAGGGGGTGTAGATGACTAAAAAAAACAGTGTTAAAACTCACAATGGCATCAATTCTTAATAGAGAGAAGGGCTAGTGTGCACATTGAGTCATACAGATTACATGTATAAATGCTGACATATACTGAATGAAATCTGTCTCTACTTGGAATCTTGATCATCCTAGTCCCATACCCAAAACTAACATTTATGTAAGTCAATGTGAGAACTGTGTAATCAGTTATTTACTGTAGTTATTGATGTGTCCATATTAACCTGATGATAACTGACATTTTTCATATTATGGGTCAAGTCAAAACACAGTAATGAGACATATGTGAACTGTTTTGGTATCTAGTTTTCCAACTCAGTTTACCTCATGTGAATAATGTACTTTATTTAAAAGCTAGTATTTTAATTCTAATGATGATAGAAATTTTTTTCTTCTAATAAGACTTACTAGTATAGTTTGGTCTTTTATCAATATGTATATATACATACATTCATTTTTGGTACCAGTAACGGATATGTCTACATATGTATATCCATGCATTATTGTAAGAGTATCATGTAAAATAATATGCTATAAATCAAATGTAACCTTCATTTTTATTTTAGGGACTTATATATGTGTTCATTTCTTCATTTTTATTTGATTAATAATATAAATCTATTGACCAGTAGAGCTAATATCATAAAGTTTATAATTCAGATAAACCATAAATATTTGCAAACCTGTTGTAGTGTCTAATACAGAATCGTAATTTATTCAACTTGCTGAGAAGGTATAACACTGTATATATATGTGTGTGTGCGTGTGTGTGGAAGAGTGCATGTTCTACATAACACTATCTCTCTCTTATGCCCTTTGTTTTCGTGTCATGGAATGATAATAGATTGATGAGTTTATTGTTGATATCCTGCCTGTGCCTAAATTTGTGAATCACTTATATCAATAATTTTAGGTGAATGTTTATGTAGAGCAATTTGAGAGAGTTGTATTTGTTCTGAAACACTGGAAAGTGTTCACAATGGGAATTTTTATTTGTTTTGAGGTATTTGGTATTTCTTGTTATCCTGCTTAATCTTAGGATAGCATAAAACACTGCTCACAGTAGAGTACTATAGTGTATATGAATAGTTATATAATTTGTCCCTCTCCAATGATAAATTCCTATGGAAAAATATCCTGAAAGTGCAGATTAAAAAATGTTTTTTAAATGAAAAAACTATGACAAATACCCTTACTTCTGCATTTCTACATATATGAACTTTGAGTTAAAGATTTATGTTGTAATTCTGCATATCTTTGTTTTTATTGAGTCCTCGGAAAAGTCTTGATGATTTTTTCTATGGAAAAATGTGTCATGGCTTTTCTGACCACTCAATAGTTGATTTATATAAAATTGGTCAATAGAAATTGCAGACTGTCCCCCAATTCTGCTTATCCTTCCATCCATTATAGGAAGATAGGGGGAAAAAATACTGAAAGTCAAAATTTGATCACCTACCAACAGAGAACTAAAGGTTTGTTTTCTAATCAGAAAGTTCATGACAAGATTGGAAAGAAAACAAATTCATTGTGTACTACTGTTTTTTGTTTTAGTCTGTTGGATGAGCTGCCTGAATCAGTGCTTAAATGGGCTCCTAATGGAAGCAGTTGCTGTAAGTTAAGAGAGAACTTCTTTCTCTTATGATTTATAGGTCATGTGCCTTTTTATTATTGCAACCATTCTAATTCTTATTG